CTAAGCAAGAGCGTTGTTAAGTGAGTTTTACCACATTTTACACATTGGCCACGCCCAACCAGTCATATGACCAGCAAGCCACTCCCACCCAGTCACATGGCCAGCAAGCCACTCCCAAAAAGTAGGCCACACCCACAGAAGAGGTTCTAAAAAATTTTGAAACCCACCACTGGCAGTACTGTATGCTGTTTCTGCTGATCACCGGCTGCCAGCAGTTTGGCAGTTCAATTCTCACCAGGCTCAAGGTTGACTCAGCCTTCCATCCTTCCAAGGTCAGTAAAATGAGGACCAGATTGTTGGGGGCAATATGCTGAACTCTGTAAACCGCTTAGAGAGGGCTGTAAAGCACTATGAAGTGGTATATAAGTCTAAGTGCTACGGCTATACTAGAGTAGCATCCCCCAACCTTTTGGGCACCAGGAACCAGTTCCATGGAGAAAGGTTTTTCTGTGGACTGGAAGAGGCATGGTTTTGCATGCTGCCTGCATCCCATGGATGGTGCTTCACTTGTTTGCGCAGACTGGTTGCTGGCATGCCATTGACCAGTGCTGGTCCATGGACTAGGGATTGGGGCCTCCTGTACTAGAGCCTCCGAGACTTTGTCACCGTCCAGAAACAATTCCCTGATTTGCATTATATGATTTCTTTCCTCTTTCTTGTCTCCTGCTGCTGAAACAGTACCCAGATGGGCTCTCATTGCAATTGCTGTAGCAGCAGGCTTAGTCCTGCTACTTTTCCTTATCTGTATCATCAAGTGCTGCTGCTGCAAGAAGAAACGGAAGAAGAAGGAGAAACTCAACTTAACAAACATCAATGGTGCCTCCACAACAGCCAGCTTGGTAGGTAACCGTGACTTTTAAAATTGGAATAGCATTTTGATTTTTAAGTTCAAATTTCAAGAGGACTGTAAACCCCAGAGAACTTTCAATGAGTTCTTAGTTACAAAACTCCTTCTAGGCTTGAAGTACAAATACATGGCAAGTGGATAGGAAAACAAGATGGATACAATTCAACTGATCTCATTAGGGGTTAAGTCAGAACTGACAACCAGGCGGTCAAAAAAAAAATCAAATAGGTGGCCATGAATGCATAATCAAACTTATGGTACTTGTTAGGAAAGGGGCAGAGCTTCAATTGTGCACTTGTATGCCACCTTGACTTTTTGATAATCTTTGCAGATGTCCTGCTAAGTGATTGGGAACAGTTGATTTGACACAGAAGCTCAATCTTGGAGTACATTAATATATTTGATAGATCACTGATGAAATCATATATAGCTCTGATTTTTACTCCTTGGCTCCAAATTCCTACAGGTGGTCCACAGTTAATAACCACTTGTTCAGTGACCATTCAAAATTGTGATGGCACTGAATGAGGGTACTTATGACTGGTCCTCAGGGGTCTGGCTGACACAGAGGACAAACTGGGTGCTCAGCAACCAGCCAAGATTTCTGGCCAACACAGTGTCCCACAGTCATGGGATTACAATTTGCAATCTCTTCTTCTGCCTTCCCACAAGCAAAACTCAATGGGGAATGGCAGAAAATCAGAAGTTGTGGACACATGAGATCATCACTTAACAATCCATGAGGATTCACTTAACAATAGTAACCAGGAATTACCAGAACTGCTGTCACTAAGTGGTGTCACCAAGCATACTTTACAATTGCATCACTTAGAGATGGAAATTTCAGCCACAATTACTGTTGTTACACAAAGATTCCCTGCATCATATTTTCAAAGTAAATTTTTTTGGTTCCACCACAAAACCACGCTCGACTAAACCGCGTCCGACTAAATCGCGTCGCTGACATCATCAAAAGGGCGACAACAGCGCAGAGACAGAAGTACGCTGTAATCCCTAAACCTAAAATTAATCCCTAAACCTAAA